TGGACATCACATGGGAGGAAAATCTTTATCTCGAAAACTAGTCCGGGCAGGATACTTCTGGCCTACCATGGAAGAGGATTCTAAAAAACACGTGCGACATTGTGTCAAATGTCAAGAGCACGCAGACTTACACCATGCTCCTCCTGAGGAATTATCTTCAATGTTATCCCCATGGCCATTCTACCAATGGGGCATGGACATTCTGGGGCCATTCCCAATCACCGCCGGAGGAGTTAAATGGTTGTTAGTAGCAATTGATTACTTTTCCAAATGGATCGAGGCAGAAGCGTTAGCCACAATATCAGCCAACAAGGTTCGCCGATTCTTCTACAGACAAATCATAAGTCGGTTCGGCATTCCACATACCATTATAACTGATAATGGCACACAGTTTATGGACAGAAAATTCAATCAGATTCTTCAAGATCCGCATGTCAAACACCGATATACGTCAGTTGAACATCCACAAACAAACGGATTGGCAAAAGCTGCAAATCGAGTCCTCAAACACGGATTGGAAAGAAGACTAGAAGCAGCTAAAGGAGAATGGCCTGAACAGTTAGACTTTGTGCTATGGGGTTACAGAACAACCAAACACTCAACCACAGGTGAAACCCCATTTCGCATGGTCTACGGTAGTGAAGCCATGATCCCAGTTGAAATTGGAGAACCATCATGGAGAAAGATGTACACAAATGTAGACAGCAACTCGCAGGCATTGCTTCATAACTTAGACGCGATAGAGGAAATGCGTGAGATCGCGCACGTCAAAGAAGTAGCACTCAAACAGAGGATTGCAGCGCACTATAACTTAAAGGTTGTCGGACGAGGCTTCAACATGGGCGACTTAGTCCTACGCAGAGCTGACATCAGATATAAGAACGCACGATAAGGCAAATTGGCCGCAAACTGGGAAGGACCCTATCGCATCTACAACAAAACAGATAAGGGGGCATATGTCATTGAGACACTATCTGGCCTTACTATCCCACGCACGTGGAACACGTATAAGCTTAAGACATTTTATAGCTAAGTCTCTCATGACTCACAACACTTTTGTCTTTCCAAATTATTGTTTCAAATAAAACTAGTCAATTTCCTTTTACTATTAATTACTTTCTGCATTAAGTTTAAGAACACAGGATCTCATGGTTCCTATCAAGTTACAGGATTCTCTCACGAATCCTCCAATTCACAGGACACCTCTCATGGGTCCTATCAAGTTATAGCATTCTCTCACGAGTCCTCCAATTCACAAGATACCTCTCATGGGTCCTATCAAGTATAGGATTCTCTCACGAGTCCTCCAATTCACAGGACACCTCTCATGGGTCCTATCAAGTATAGGATTCTCTCACGAATCCTCCAATTCACAGGACACCTCTCATGGGTCCTATCAAGTTAATGGATTTTCTCACGAGTCCTCCAATTCACAGGACACCTCTCATGGGTCCTATCAAGTAAAGGATTCTCTCACGAGTCCTCCAATTCACAGGACACCTCCCATTGGTCCTATCAAGTAAAGGATTCTCTCACGAGTCCTCCAATTCACAGGATACCTCTCATGGTTCCTATCAAATAAAGGATTCTCTCACGAATCCTCCAATTAACAGACTCTTTCACAAGGATCTCCTCAACAGATCGAAACTATTCAAGTCCAACGTCACCAAGACACATTGCGACTCTCTATGCTCAGACGCGAGGACATGAACAAATAAAAGGTATGCAACATACTTTACAACCTGACATATAAACTGTCTGGACATGCAACATGCAGTTATGGTGTTCAAGCGCCATACAGCGTACACACCACAGTCCCAGATACAGGACGTACATTCGCACACAGACTCTTTACATTCACAAGATCCTATACTTAAAGGATTCCTCTATAATAAAGCACGACATGCTTTGACAAATGATCGCGGAAAGACACACATATTCGCACAACTCAGATGGAACACACTTCAGCTGGGTTAAAACTCCATCCGCGATACAAAGAGCGCGAAGAGCAACATGAAGAATGACGAAAAGGGTAATAACCCATTGCGAAGTATGCAAATATCAACAGTCTACAGGAAAACAGAAACACAAGCATTTGGCAACACATCCAACATACATATTCAACAAGCCCAAATGTCATGATTTCAAAATTGCGGGAACAAAACCCCTTACACACATCATTGTTTTGAATCATATGGGGATACTCCCTTTACAAATATAGAAAAAATTAAAAGAAGACAGCAAAAGGTCAGACTGTCTGAATAGACATATCCTGAGGAGTATCAGCCTTCAACAGCGCGCTCATTATTCACAGTAGGAGGACCTTGAGGCGATGGCTCTTGCAAGGATGGCGCGATAGTGTCTGTATCCATCGCGCTGATTAGTTCAACTGGGACCTCTTGATTTTGCTCATTCAGTGTCACCAGCAGACCATACTTGAAGTAGTGATAAAAGTGCACGTTCTCCAGCCTGGCAGAGGGGTTGAAGAAGCGCACTTGCTCTATTACATTCAGGAAGGTAGCCTCCGCTTCTTTCTCAAATAAACCCTGATACCTCTTCACCTCATCGGTCAGGAAGGCCTTCTCATCGGCCCAGGTATCAGCGTTCCCCTCTAGCTCAAGAACGCGCTTGTCCAGGTCAATCTTCTTCGCCTCCAAGCTTCTGTTGGCAGTGGTCAGCTTCTTCACATCGGCGTCCTTCTTCTCCATTGCTGCCTTCAGATTGGCTATCTCTTCTTTAGCAGTCTTCAATTTCGCCTCAGAATCAGCGCGCTGTTGAGCGTTCTCAGCTTTCAACTCTTCAATGCGCTCTTTCAGGTAGTCTACCGAATCTGCCACATATCAAAGAAGGTTATACATACAATCGCGATATTATAATATGCAAACAAGCACAATGGAAAACCAAAAATACTCACCAGGCGCGGTCATGTTAAATTGACCCGCCGAGATCAAGCCCTGGGCCAGCTGACGCCATTGGTCCCGCGGCAAAGCTTCCAAGTGAGAACCGAAATCCCTGCCTTGAACAAGCAGGTCCGTCACGGATCCCCAGTCAAAATCCGGCCATCCTATAGCTGACCCATCAGACATCTCCTTGAAGGTTCTTTTCTTCCTTTTCGCGATATCCCCTTCCACTACTACAGGAGGAATAACTTCTTGAGGAGAAGCGGGAGGAGTGTGAAGCCTCAAGGGAGATTTCAGCTGCGTGGCGGCATGACAACTCGACTCAGCAACATCAGCAGCAGTCTTGATCGGTTGTGAGGAGGATGAGGAGCCAGCAAGAGCTGCGCAATTGGCAGCGATCTGCTCCATTCGGCTTACTGGCGCCATCCTTATACTATATGCAAAATAAAACAAACGCAGGGGTGATTAAGCATACTTACTTGATACCTGCGCATCGCGATACACAAAGATACTTAGATCAAAACAACTAGAAATAGAAAATAGAAAGGATTCACATTACCCAGGTAAGCTCGAATATCATCCTCAGAATATTCATTTAAAATGGTATATGTATCCAGTGAGCCTATAGCAGAGGCGTCACGAGCGATGTTACCCAAAGCAATCACTGTCTGTTGTTCTAGATTGCTCAAATCAGTAAAGGTATAGTTTAACACGGAACTACTTGACGGATATTCTGACCAGTACAAGGGGAAGATAAGAGCCTCGTCCTCGCCTAGAAAAAATGAGGTGGTACCTTCGGCGGGATAGATTTTGAAATACTCAGCGCTCCACTTGTTAATCTTTCTGTAGTACGACCCACAAAATTTTACTTTGCCCCTAAAAGATATCCAGTTGTTGCGAGGGGGCATCACACTGAACATATATAAAAAAGGACGGTACAGATTGGAAAAGGCCATAGGCCTTGCATACCATCTCATAAACTCTAATAAAACCCCAGGCATTGGGGGTCAGCTGTGAGGGCGCCACATTCAAGTGCGCCAACAGTTTACAAACAAAAGAAGAAAAGGGAAGACGAACACCTATGGACAAGAAAAAATAGGAATACATCATCATGAAATGCCTGGATGATCCCTCAGCCCGCGATGAGCAAACGCGCTCATTCTTCGGGACGACACCAATCTCCCATTGGTTGTCAAAAGCTTTATCCGGGGTCAGATGGAGGGCCGCAGTTACTTCCGCCAACTCTCCAGGCGAGCAAAATACTGACTCAATCTTCAAAACTGAGTCTGACACCCACTCTAAGGTATCCACATCCCGGATGCTTTGCCTATTCAGGGACCGCGTCTCCGAAGGTTCTTCTTCCAGACTAAGGTGCACAACTTTCTTCTTGGCCTCAGGCTGCGTCTTCACGATCTTCTTATCTCGAGCACCACGTTTCGCCATAATTTCCTTGATACGAGGAGACACGAAATCTAATTCAGAAGAAGAGGAATCAGTGGAAGAAGACAAGTCAGTGGACACAGGTTTATAATTATCAAAATTCCTTTTCTTAAAAGGATATCCGGCTGGATAAATCACATTCAAGGGCAATGGACTAGGACTTTTCGGTATTGAAGACTCACGCGCGATGGAACACGAAGAATCGCGCGATGAACTCGAGAAAGGCAATTTAGGGCTTTTCGACTCAGCCGATTTATAACTACTATCAGAACTGGCAGAGGAGTCACTCGATATCACAATGGGTTTAGACATACAACAAACTAGAGAAACACAGACGAGCTATGGGCTGACAATGCCTTTCCACGATTAGGTTGTCGCGAAGTTGACCCTAACTCAAAGGTACGACTAGAGGGAAGACGCTTAGCACAAGCTTTGGAACATGGGGCTAGAATTCCTACAGTAGGCCTTTTCTCCATGGTTCCCAAGGACCTTGATCTGGGTAACAATCCCGACGGCGGACTAGATGAACCAGACCGTTCAAGGAATCTGATAAAATCCGCACATTTGCGATTCTCAGACATACTCCAAAAAGGCAGACGAAAATGTCGAACAAGATGAAAGAAATGCAGATAAAATAGAGGGTAAGAAGAAGAAGAAAAAAACGCACCTGAGCTTTATACTTTGGAAGTTCACACCAAAAGCAGGACATGTCACCTCCGGAAATACAGAAACAAGCTCTGAGAGACGAAGCAAGTTCTCCACCAAAAATGGCCAAATGATTTTCCCTCCAAATGAAAAGGCTCAAATACGAAGAGTTTTTCTCCAACGGATAGACCAAAAGCCGTGAAACGTGTTAAACACAAAACGGGTTAATGGGGACACGTGGCAGGCAGGAGAAGCATTTTACTCGCAAAACACCCACGACTGTCCTTAAACCCCCACGTAATCACAACAACATTTAGTGCTCCTGACTGATTAGACGTCTAATCCACCGTTCTTAAGCGGTCAAAAGTCATGATGACATTGCAAGGCATCATTACCGCGGCAGACAACGACATATCAGTCACAAACTACCGCGCCTCATACAAAAGACATATAGCTCACGGCCTTGTCAAATGACAACACCGCAAGCTAGGGGGCATCAGATCCAGATATATTATAGGCCCAACCAAGGCTCAATAACACATGGAAGCCCAAATCCATTAAGGACCCAGAACGAGGCACAAAGGACAGGTACGGACATGCGATGACTATATCGCGTCATACAAGGCGCGATGACCTTATCGCGACACGCAAGACGTACTTACTCACCTCGCAACAGGATACCTTCTACAGACAGTAAACTTAAGGGCCAAGGCAACACCACCGCGCCCTCACACCAGTAAGCAACGAACAGCTCCAGCTTGCCATAACTCTACTACTAGACACCGTGGCGGCAAGCTCCTCAGCATTTAAACCATGACAGTCACACTACGTTGGCACCAAGGAACCTTTGCCTTCACCATAAAGAAAGACATCCTCCAAGCACACATCTCAACTACTATATAAACACACGATGTATCACCAAGGTACGATCATCATTTACTTTCACAACATAAACACCTGCCTCTGATACTGACTTAAGCATCAGAGTGTATTTGCAGGTACCCCCCATTTGGTGCAACGTGAAGGACGAAGGACAAAGAGCTCAGGCTCACCCCAACTGCAATACCAGGCCCAGACCAGAAACTACCGAAGGAGTCTCAACCGTGTGTGATTTGAGCTTAATACGTATTGGGCTATCCATACTGTATTTGGTCCGATCAATAACTAAGGGAAAAAAGTATCTAATATTACTTTAGACAATTTTGTCTAATGTTCACCGAAACGACGTCGTTTTGAGGTTGAAAAATTAAAAAATTAGAATGATAAAGACTATTTAACCCTGAAATAAATTAAAATTACAAATATACCATGATTTCTGCTCCAAAACGACGTCGTTTTGGCGAACATTAGATAAAGTTATCTAAAGTAACTTTAGAAAAAATGAACCCATAATACATTGAGTCTTCAGTACTCCCGTAATATTAAAGATATTTCCGGGGGATAAGGGACCACGGCTACGCACGCCCAATTAAAAAGGAGTAATATTTATCCTTTTTGTTTTTTAGTTTTTATGGCTTTTTCTTTTCTTAAATATTACTCCTTTTTAATTGGACGCGCGTAGCCGTGGTCCCTTATCCCTGGAAATATTTTTAATATTACGGAGTACTGAAGACTCAATGTATTATTTATTCAATTTGAAAAAAATAATATATTTTTTTTATCATTTCATCCTTCCTTGTATGGTTATTTTTTCCTAAATCTTCATTCATTTCTATTTTTAATAAAGGAACACATACTCTAGTAGCATCAAAAATGTGCTCCTTATCCCCCGTCTGACTCAACCCGTGAAAGTTGGGCCCGTTCCAAATGTATCAAATTTATAAAACCGTAAATATCGAAATCATTTTAGAAAAAAAAATATATTTTCAACATCCTACAATCAAATTTTAATCATTAATTTTTATTAATTTGATGAAAATTAAAAAATTAATTAATTAGTCTAACCTAATACATTATAATCATTAAATTAACAAAAATCAACGATTAAAATTTAATTATAAGAATTTATGAGTAAAAAAAAATCATAAATATAATCTCCCTCGTCATATCATTTAAAATGAAAAAAACGCGTTAAAAGTATCAAAATCATTTAAAATAAAATTCACTTTGAACATGGACAACACAAAAAAATCACTTTAAACAGTAAATATCAAAATAATTTAAAACAAAAAACACGTTAAAAGTATCGAAACCATTTAAAAAAAACCATATTAAACAGTAAATATCAAAATTAGTTCATTATTAAAATATTATTATTTTATCTTAAATAATCATACAAAATTTTGTACCATACAATTATTTTCATAATTAAAATAATAATATATCTATCGTTAATTAGTACCTAGTCCATCTCTTTAATCTATCTTGTTTAACTTAGCGAGTTAAATGAATCAAATTAATGGCATGTTTGATTCATATTATGATAGGATAAAAATGGATATAATATGAGTATGAAAAAAATAAGGATATGATAAGTTTATATCTTATGCCATGTTTAGTGCTTATTAGATAAATAGCTTGATATCATACAAAATTATAATATAATTTCACATATATTTTAAAAATTGATTTTCAATTTTTTTCTTTTGATTATTTATTTATAGATTAATTCCTCTTTTAAAATTTTTGAATAAAATATATAAAATAACCTACAAAATTTTCTAAACTAAAAAATTATATTTTTATTGAATAAATTTTTGAAAATAAACTTTAAGTTGATTTTTATGTATTTGACACAACAAAAATAATTTGATTAACATTAATATGAAAGAAAATCGCATTATTCAAATAAAAAGTAAGAGATTTGTTATTTGGTAAAAGTTGATATATATATTTTCCAAACATCTATGTCACAATGACACAATGAGTGGCAATGGTGATATTTGGCTATGATAGTAGTGATGGAAGCTAGCAGCAATGTTATTGATTCGTGGGCGATGGCAATAGGTGCCACGGGGTATACGGTCTGAAGCTTAATGAGACGACATATGGGCATATGTGGAAGAATGAATTTCCTATTATATCATGAAATTGATTTCTCATTTGTTATTTAATATGACAATGTAATATTAGGACAATTCTATTCATACGGAGATAAATTAAGAGTTTGGTGTTTGTCATTTTAAATGACATAAGTGAGTGGTTTTTTTTTAATTTAAAATTCAAATTTTCTGTGTCTGTATCTCTCTTAAAATGACATAACTTTCTGTCATTTAAAATGACAAACACTTTTCTCATAAATTAAATATAATAATTTTATAATTATCTATTTTAATATTTTTTTTCTCTTCACTTATTATCATTAATTTACCTTCAAATAGTGTTATAATTTTTCTCATAACAAGATCCACTCTAAAAAAAATGGATAAGGGTAAGATATAACAATTTATCCAATCTTATCTTAATTATCCTATTAAATAGGTCAGTTTTTTCTAAAAAAAAATCCATTTAAGGATAGTGAATTAATATCAATGGAACTGTTTTTTTTTTTTTTAAATTTTGATTTCAAAAAATAAAATACAAAATATCCAATATCAAAAACCTTATATTGAAAATATAAAACGAAGAATAAAAATAATCGTTAAATATCTAAAACTACAATATAACAAACGTAAAGATTTGAGTTTAAGAAAATATCTAATCCACAACAAATTGAATAAAATTTAAGTGATTATGTGTTTTCTCCTATGTGTTTTTTTTTTTTTAAGAAATGAATTAACTTTAAACTTTTAATTTGAATAGCCACAATTAAGTTCATATATTTTTTTTAAAAAGGCTAATGAAAAATAATTAATTTAAAATATAAATACGCAGGGGCATCACCTGTAAATAACAAAGAATAACAGGGCAAAGTGTTATAGCGTAATGGATAACGACAAAATATTGCCGGGAAGTTACTATATCGCAATCGCGTGGCGACTCTCCCGCTATAAAAAGTGGGACTCTTTAGTGTTCCTAAGCAAAACCCGGTGATTCACACACACGAAGCTGAACCCACTTCTCTTTTTTCCTTTTCAATTTCTATTAACAACGAAACCCATTTACCAACTTCTTTTCTCTTCCTCCTTCTCCTCCTCCTCCTTCTTCTTCTTCTCCTTCTCCTTCCTCTAGCTTCGAACCCTACCTAAACCTATCATCTCTGGTCAATTCCTTTTCCTTCTTTGTTTTTTTTTCTTTCAATTTCTTTCGAACAAAAGAAAAAAAACAAAGGAGAAAAGGAGTTAGCTATAGAGATGAGGTTTTTCTTAGAGTTTGTTTCTTGTTGTGGCTCGCTCACGCAGCGCGAGTCGAAGAGGGCTCTTCCGCCGGAGGAGGAGGAGAGGTGGCTCGTTCAGGTGCCGACCGCCGCCGCTGATTCCTCCCGCCGTGTCTTCCGCAAGAAGCGGGGGAGGATTGGCGCGACCGATTGGAAGCCGTCGCTGGGATCGATCTCAGAGGACAACGCAGTGTTGCCGAGAAACAGTGCGGTGGCCTCCGCTGGAAAGGACGTGAAGAAGAGGAGCGCCACTGCCGCCGGTTCTGGCGGTGCTGCGAAGGTTCGTCACCGGAGTTACAGCGACGGTTATTACGGGTGAGTTAAAACGTTTTTTTTGGAAATTAGTGAGTTAAAACGTTTAATTTAACTAATTAATGCTCTGTAGAAGAAAAGGTTCAAAATTAAAAATTAAGATATAAAATTGTGTGAGTCATTTATGAAGGAAAATAAAATCATCATATACGTTTGTTTCCAAAAAAATAAAATAAAAAATGATATATGCTTAATTTTAGAGGCGTTATTAATGGGCCAGCTGGTGCTGTGTTAGAACTACACACAAGCCATTTTTTAAATTGAATTTTAATAGATGGTATGTATGTGTTGCTTGGAAATAAGAGTGTTAACGGATGGACTTGACAAAACTTTTGGTCTTAAAAGTTTTGTCAGACTAAGTCTATATTTAAATGCTATATTTAAATGTGTTAGTCTGATCAAGCTGACCAGTAGTATAAAAAATAAAATAAAAAAATTAATATATTAAGTTAAGAGGCTGAGCTCTTTTATTAAACGAGCTTGCTCAATATTAAGCATTTACGCTCAAGCCTAAAAGTTTCCCGGTTCGTTTATCTATCACCCCTAGTTGAAAGTGTTTATTATGCAGTTGACTTTGTTTAGAGAAAATTGTGGGGTTTTTTTTATTAATATTAATAAAAAGAAGGTCGCCAACCTGGCATGACTAATGATGCATTTTAAGGTTAAGATTTTATGCAATTTAAAAATTAGAATTTATCTCTTGTAAACTGATAAATCTACTTTCTAAAGAGTAGAGTGTATAGTTATAATTTTTGTTTAAAAAATTAACTGTTCATATTGTGATAAGATATATGTTATAATTTCCCATTTTATATTCTAAAGTGTACTTCTCTAACTTTGAAAAAAAATCAAATTCTGAAAATCAATTCACACCGAAAGATTAATTTCAAGGGGTTTGTTGTATTTTTATTTTTATTTTTTTTTGTATACAAAGGTTTGTTGTATTTCAAATTAGAGAAAAATAGTCACACTTTATATCATTTTGAAAAAGTTTATAGTTATAAATTTTTTATTTACAATTATAAATTTAATTATGTATTTTCAAAAATTAACTCGGTCAGAAATGTATTTTCAAAAGTACATAATTAAATTTTTATATGAAACTTTAAGCAGTTAAGCCACTTTATAACAAAGACTATTAATTTATACTTCAGTGGTTTAGATATGTAACTTGTATGAAGTGAGAAAATTAGCACACGTCATGAATTTTCACTTGTCAATTGTCATATCGTGGCCATTCGTATTTTGCACTCCGGTGGTATTTGTGTGAAAATAATGCAACGGTGTGTGCAATAATTGCAAATTATTTGAATGACTTTTATGTTTGTTATGTTATATAATGTACGGGTTAAATAATCTAAGGGTTATATATTTAGATATATTATTAGAGATATAAATATTTAAAATATTTAATTTTAATTTATATAATGAGTTTTATGTGTATGAGAAATATACACACAAAAGAGGTCTCTCTTCTTATCTATGGACTTCACTTCTAATTTTGTTTAGACAACATAACATAACCATTTTCTTACAATATAAGAAAATTATTTTCCATAATCTAATTTCATTTTTCTACACACACAACAAAAAAGAGAAAGAAAAGAAAGTGAAATGATGAAAGAGAAAAAAAAATTATGGACTTCACCTCTTTAATATATGTGTAGAAAAATACATTTAGGTTATGAAACATAACAAATATAAAATCCTATTTGAATATGGTTTTATTGACGACGTCATTAACGTGTAACTTTATTTTTGTGGTATGTTGCAGGTCAGCTGCCATGCCAACGATTATGCCAACATTCTCTCCCACGCCGTTCATGTTCTGAAGATTATAGTTGAATTTGTTAAAGCGAATGTATATATACGGGCTATTTGGATTGAAGTTGGGAGAAAGAAAGAGAAAAATTTGTAAAGGTTTCTTCGCTTATAGCTGTTGTGAATGGAAGTAGCCTTATATCACAACCTTGTTTATAAATGAACAGTTTTTTTTTTTTTTTAATATTTGGTACAATACAAATTAACAGATTAATATTTCCTGATCTTGGTTTTTGTTTCCACGATGACAAAATTTTGATATACCTTATGTAATATTGTTTAACATAAAATGTTTCCTTGTTTCATCTCGTTGACTGAAGTGTTTGATAAAATCGAGGAAGGTTAGACAAAAGTAGCACCAGCGACTCAAACACTCCTAAGTCCTAACAACAAAAATAACAACTTAAAAGGAGGGGAAAAAACTATTTTAAAGTGGGTAAATAATTTTTTTTTTTTGGTAAGTGGGTAAGTAATCTTAGCCCATAAACACTTTTCCCCTTGAGCACTCTCAGCTTACCAAAGGCCAATCGGAGATATCTTGGAGTTTTGGCATACTTCACCCATTTGGGAATTGATCCATAATTCATATTTTGATTCAGTTCGGAAGATATTTTCGTTAATCATAACAACAGATTGGGTAGTACAAAAGAGTTGCATCCACATAGTCATAAGGTAGTACAAATATACCATTTTCAGGGATTTTTTTATTATAGACCCGGCCCACAACTTTTTAGGTGCACATTTTTCTAAAATGGAAAAAATTTCTTCAATTTAAATTCCTCTCTTCACAAATTCTCCCCTGGTCCATTTTGTTTTTCATTTTAGGATAGGGACTTTGAAGTCCCAGTCCATATAAAATGAGCTCCATTTTCAGAGTCCATTCAATAGCAAAACAGTGTCTTCCTTGTGCGACACGTTTGTCTAACTGAATAGATTAGAAATTACAATATAAAGATATGAGAAATAAACTTCGGTAACTTTGAGCATTTCTAGTTATAACCTCATTTAGTTGTGTAATTACCACATAATTCATCCCCATATTAAAACATAATCATGAACAAATTTCAATTCACACATTATAGTTAATGGCATGTAGAATAAATTATTTGCTCAACTGTAGGTGTTTTTGAAAACTTATTAATTTTTATTACATCCAACCGTAATGACATGTACATACAATATGTTGTTTATCCTTCCCAATCGTGGGGGCCTTTGCTAATTCATTATTGTTTTATTATGCCCAACCTCTGGGGTTTTATGTGCCTAGCATGGTCGAGCTCAAGACCAAGTAGGTGTCCCTTGTTAGGATATGATCCTCCCTTAGCTATTATCTACACTTATTTGAATTCAATCTTATTTGTACTCATCTGCATTCATTTAAACTTAGGTTGTTATGTTGTTTAGTTTGTTACTTAGGCTGTTGCTTTTGTTTAGATATGTGTATATCCTTTGATCCGTTTCTGTTGTACTTATCGTGTATTTAAATACTACAAGAAAATGTGTATTTTGCGATAGTTATTTCACGACGGTTGCATGTTAACCACATCAGATTAACATACTGCGGCCGTTACTACGACAGTTAGACAAACCACTATTGAATATTGGAAAATGACAACGGTTACATTGGAACCGTCGTGGAATAAATGCTTTCCAAAACCACTATTGAATATTGGAAAATGACAACGGTTACATTGGAACCGTCGTGGAATAAATGCTTTCCAAGATGATTGGAGGTAAACCATCGTTGTATTAGTTATTCTGCGGTGGTTAATATCATTTTGCGATTTGTTTTTTGTTTTTTGTTTTGAATATTTATTGTTTGTTTGTGGTTTAATGTTTTGGTATCCACACTAATAATAAATTAGATGATATACATTGATTTGTTTATCATTTTAATAAACAGTGTCCCATTGTTCAAGCATATAATAATTTATATGTACTCTTGAAGGACCTTGCATGCAAAACCAAATCAATAGGCCTTAGTCAACATTCTCATCTTTAAAATAGTTATCATGTTGAGGCTTGTCATGTTACATGTACATAGCTATTTTGTCGTAATAAATGATAAGCCATTGAATGAAATCTAGTGTTAAAGGCTAAAGGAGAGCTAGCCAATTAGTAGATCCCGAGTCATGGTGAATAGAGGTGGCAATATGGGTTGAGTCTGACGAGTCAACTTTCCATCCCGCCAAAACGGGGTGGGTTAGGTTGAGATTTTCAATCCACCAACCCTCTTCAACCTACCTTTCCTACAAGTGAGTTAAGACGGGTTTAACCCGCTGTACGACTGGTTGACCTGCCAGGTCATAATTTTTTTATTATAATTAAATAGTATTTTATTTGTCACTAAGTTTTTGTGATATCAAATTTTTTTGTATTGTAGTACTACCTAAAAAAATAAAGAATAAAATTTTTATCTGCATTTTTTAATGTCTCTAATTTGTGTGCATTTTGTTGTGATCATGTCTCTCTTTTATGTTATGTCTAGTCCCTTATAAGTAATGTAGTATTATTCTTTGTGTTGTCCCTGTTTTTGTTGTATAATACACAAGGACCACAAATTTGGCTTATTTTTTAATCACAATTTAATAAGTCTTGTGCGTATTTCCATGGTAAATATGTATCAAATTAACCTTTTGTTTCACCATAGTGGTGATTTTTTCGAAGAACCTGAAGAGAAACTTGAGTACATAAGGAGTGAAATAGATAGTTGGCATGATTGAGATATGGACACAAATGAATGTTTTTAGTGTGACAGGATTATATGACAGATATGGTATACATTTAAGATTGAGATTGGAAAAAATTAAAAAGAGTGTGAAATAAAATTAAATAATATTATAAAATTTATAAAATATAATTTATTTTTATATTTTAATTAATTTTTTTTTTGGCAGGTTGGTGAGTTGACCCCCGCCAACCCACCATAAAATGGGGTGGGTTCATTTTTTCAACCCATATTGCACGGTAGGCCAACCCGCCCTCCTGTTTTTGACAGGTCGTGGCAGGCCAACCCATATTGCCACCTCTAATGGTGAGAGTGTTAGTTCGAGAGAGAGGAATGAGGAACTATTATTCTACATAAGAGAAATACAGATTATTATAAAAAAAACTCCTTCAACATATATTAAACATTATCAATCTTGCATCATACATTGTTTGTAAGATTTTAATTGTATGAAACAATTGTACTATGGATAATACTAATGAAAAAAAAAACAGTTGCCCAGATGATTAAAACTCACCTTATATGGAACCTCATTATAATTGAATGTCTTTATGTTAGTATTTAAAAGTTATGATTACATTGGCTTCTTGACATATTTAATATGAAAAAGGAAACATTTTCCCCTTTTATTCAAAATTCAAACATTTTATAAAAAATAATGCATGACTTGTGTGAAATTGAGTGCGCTACAAGTCACGCGTGGGGTGTGAGCTTTTTAGGTTGTACATAAGGGTAATGCGTGACTTGCAACGCACAACATGTGGCAGCACGCATTGGCTTTTGACAAATCACGCACCTCTATGTACGACTTGAACATGCACACTCCTTGGGCATCTCATCGTATTATTTTGTAAAAAGTTTGGTTTTTGAATCAACGAGAGAATGAATGTTTCCATTTTGATATTATTATGGTCAAAAGGCAGATGATATTTAATAAATTAATAAAAATTTAATATATCAGTTGTTAAATTGTCAAAGTTTTATTAATAAACTGATTATTATGATTATATTCCTTTATATTAATTAATGAATGAATGACTAAAGTAAAGTTGTTATTCATGAATTTTTAAACTTTAATTAATATATACAATATTGTTGATTTGTTAAAGTTAAATTATAACTAATTTGATTTTGTTAATGAATAAAAAGTGAAATTAAATTTGTTATTAATAAATTGTTAAATTATCATTAGCATAATCGATATTGTTAATATTTAAATTTTGTTTCAAAAAGTTATATTATGTTATGGTAAGAACAATGATTGAAGGAATCGAACTTGATCCTTACATCCCTAAATTCCACTTAACCACTAAGGCACAATCAGAAATGTTATACTTTTGTAGTCAAAACTGCCACCCGACAGCCCTTAAGTGCAGGGTGTTCAGGACAATCCTTACTCAACTGCGTCTACAAGTCTTCGTACAACTCCAATGGCTACCAAATTTTGACAAAACATATTTGACATCTCAATCTTCAAAATGGTGTATGACACGTCCCTATTGGACCTCTGTGGAGGGAGATATGCTCTCTCAAAGTTGACCCAAAAACTGCCATTTTATATAAATTTCGATGGCGCCTCCTTTGTTTATTCAACCTATCCCACTTTATCAAAATTGTGTTATTATCATCAAATGGTAACTAATAGACAAGGGTGGCACTCAAGGACCAACAATGCATTGGTGCTCTTACAACCCACAACAATTTATATTATTTACCTCAATTTACCATTCATTACTCACTTTGTCAAAACTTAATCATTTCAATCACATTATTCCCTTTTGCATGCATTCTTTACATTAAGCATAAATCATATCCTAGAATAGGCCTATTACCCTTTCATCACATACATGCTTTAAATGTTACACAAGGTCCATAATAATAATATTACAATTCTCCCAATGCTTAACATAAATACAAATGAATCCTCCAAATACAACATGATAAATCAACAACTAGACTTAGGCAAAATATGGCATGAACAAATATAACCGAAAGCATAATCCTAAAGCAATATGCAATGTTCATGCCCTAAGTCTAGCTATGTCAAAGTGGCCTCAAAATGCAAAAATCCTCCAATCTCCAAGTGCTCATCCTATGGGCCTCTTGCCCACAGCTCCAGCCCAACTGCAACTACCTGAAATCATGCCCCAAATACGGGATGAGATATACGAATATAACTCAGTAACTCAGAGGTTCTGGAGATTACTCCGCCCAATGGCTCACTGAGATGTAAATCAACAATGCACTATAACAACCAAAGAGGGATAAAGCAGGGGATTTAGTGAAGTAGGGATAAATAGGGAGTAAACATACGATGAAGCTGGAATGGTCAATGCCAAAACCACGCAACATCCGGACTATTGGCCTCGGCATATAGTCCACGAGTTCTCATCCAAGGAAGTGTTTCCAGAACATCAACCAAGGCACCCACCACCAATACACCTGAGACATTCCTAGAGTGCTCCTCAACGGATAACAACTCCATGACCCTAGGTCAAATGGAACTCCCTCACGGAGACCTATCCAGTGGAAGTCCGTAACGCCCAAAGATAACTATCTACTGACCAGAGACACAAT